AGAGAAAGAAGAAGACAGCAGGGGAAAGGCGGCGAGGGAGGTAAGGAAGAAGAAGGGGATTGGCGAGGAAGAAGTGCCGGCAGCCATAGCTGACCGGGGAGTTGACCGAGAGGTTTGACCGGAGGCGTTGACCGGAGTTGACCGAAATTGACCGAGGGTCATAGCAGCGTTGACCAAGGCAGTTGACCAAGGCGTTGACCAAGACTTTGACCAAGCTGGAGTTGGTAACATCTCGCCAAGCCCTTAGCCTGCCCCTCGCCCTATGGATGTGCACCTACCCCTTGGTACTTGCTGAGTACAGTCTGTCTGTCTATTCTTTCTGCATTGAGTCTCTTCTGTCCTAGGTCATAGAACTCTGTGGATGAAGGATAGGGCCTTGCTGCCAAACCTGCACGGGACTTAGTAGGACTAATCTCTACTCTGGTATCTGGAGACCTGGGCATGAGCGGCGAGCGCTCGTTAAACAACTCGTCTAGCCCAATGACCGGTACTGTCCGGCAGGTCTGTTCAGTTTCAAAGTAGAGGGTCTGAACTCTGAGCTGCAGGCTGAAACAGAGGCCGTCGTTAAGTGTTGAGGGCCTGTTGGAACCACTCCCCTACCAGACCAAGTAAGGTTGATGATCTGTGTCTAACGACTCGACTGTCCCGGGGGATACGAACCTCCCCAAGGACCGGTACAGACCGGCGGGCTGCTCGGTGTGGCACAGTAGGCCGGAAAGGCTGAGTTGTGGGCTGAAAGCACAGACAGAACCAAGCTGATCACGTTGTCTTGTCTGCGACGTTAAAGAATTCTCGAGGAGTTACGGGGGATCTCCTTAAATGCCTCCTGATCAACCACTGGTTCAGTAGTGACAGCCATAGTGTAGGTCTAGGCTAGAGACCATAGTTGACAGGATCCCTGTCAAGATTTTGTGAGTCTTAGATTGAGTTAGTAGGTCTGTCAGTCAGGGGTTGACGTCTACGTGGTGAGGTTTGGAACCACTGACCCGGTTGTACACTTATCACCATGGTTGAGACCCGTAGTGGGAAGTAGACTAGCCCCTACACCACTGAGCAGCAAGAAAAGATGGCCGCCTTAGTCAGAGAGAGTAAGGAGAGGAAAGAGCGTGAAAAGCAAGCCAAGCTAAAGGCTATCGCAGACGAGCAGGCGGCGAAGATGAAGAGATTGGAGGAGGAGATGAGGGTATAACAGGAGGGGGAAGAAAGAAGGAAGGCTGCTGAAGCAGAAGCGGCAGCAGAAGAAGAGAAAGAGAGAATGAGAATTGAGAGTGGGGAAGGAAGTAGTGGTGGCATGATGAAGTGGGAGACAAATACTGAGCTGGAGAAGAAGATCAGCGAGTGGGTCGCTAATTTATCGTTGGGGGAAGACGAGGAGGCGGAGTCATATGTGACTAAGGATGAGAAGGCTGCGCTGGCCGCTGAGCTAGCAGCCATGACAGACCCAATGGAACGAAGAGAGAGGGAAGACGAGCAAAAGTTAGCATGGAAGTTGAGAATGAAGAGGGAGAAGAAGAGGAGGAGAGAGGAAGTGAATAAGATGACCGCAGCAGTGGCAAAGGTGCAGGAGTGTAGAGCGGAGGTGCTGGCCCAGCCAGATGATAAGGCCAAGTGGGACAAAGTACTGGGCTATCTAGAGGTGTTGAGCAGGGCCTAGATAGAGGAGCGTGAGGCAAGCTGGAGTCAGGATGTAGCATTGAGTGCCATGCGGTCCGGGTTCAGGGATTTTGTGCACGAAATCGTCACCCACATTGGGGGCGAAGTCAAACAGTTGAGGGACAATGTAGGGAAGTTTTGTGAGTGCGCCATTCAGGGTGCCAAAGCTGCAGCCGCTGTAGAAGGAGAGGCCAGACCCCGTAAGGACCCAGTGAAACTTAAGTTCCCAGACGTGTACGGGGGAAAGAAGGACGAGAACTTTGACAACTGGGAGGCCAGTGTCAATAGTCACATTTATTTACAGCATATCCTGATGGAGGAGCAAGTCCTCGTGGCCTTCCAGGCCCTGAAGGACGAAGCGGCTAGCTTCGCCAGGTCTCTCGCGCGTACAGCAGGTTGTGAAAACAACCTGGTTGCGTATTCCAAAGTCACTCCTCTTTCCCAATTCCTCAAGCTCCTCAAGGAGCGGTTCGCTAACCCAACGCGAGGCATTAGAGTCTCTGATAAGCTCCAAACGATCCACTCTCGGCAGTGGAGGAGTGCTAAGGCACTCAAGGGTACTATGGACGACTTGGTAGTTGTCCTAGACCACGGGGTCACTGAGCCCCAGCTGGTCCAGTTGTTTTATCGTGCCATTCCAGAGGCTCTACGCGGGCATTTCTTTGACAAATCTCAGCAGGCCGGCATGACTTACGATGCATTGAGTAGGGAAGTCGTCCTGTATGAGTCAAAGTCTATGCCAGTTACCACTTTCTGGCATAAGGACTTGGAGAAGGGGAAAAAGTGGAAAGATCGTACCATCTCGGGCCAAGTCAAGGCCAAGGATCACTTGATCCTAACATTAGAGGAGGGTGGTACAGAAGAAATCCCATTTGATCAGATTGAGTGGGGCCTAGGGGAGGAGTACAGTAGTGTAGGGCAGGGGAGGTCTTACGCTGCTGTCGCGGCTGGAGGGAGGCCGCATGGTAGAGGAGGAGGCCAGGGCCAAAGGGGCCAGGCCACGGGAGGCCGAGGACCGGGGGCGCAGGGGGTTGGCGGCCAAGGAAACCGCCAAGCGGGAGGTAGGGGTCAAGGTCCCCCGTCAAATCGCCAAGGTTCATTCCGGTCCCCACAGCGAGGAGGTGGAAGGGCACCTCAAGGTGGATGGCACCCAGTCTTGCCACAAGGCAGGCCCTGGGAAGATTTGGGCTTGGACCAGCGCGTATGGCAAGAACGCGTGGACCGGGGTCAGTGCATATTCTGTGGTGACCCGGCCCACGTTATCAAATTTTGTCCAAAGTATAGACAGGCCCGTTGGGCTGCTCAGTCGTCAAAAGGCAGCCGCCAGTAGGGGTCGCAACTGCCCCTACTTCCAGGCCATGTGGAGAAGTGAGCGTGCGCGAACAGGACACTCCCAACCCACATGAGCCTATGGCAGAGGTTGCAGGCCCGTGCCTAGATAGCTTTCCAGAGACTGCTTGTGTTAGCGTCTCTTTAGGCACGTCCCTCACAGGTGTGGCAGAAGAGTTAAAGAAGACGATGCATGCCTGGGCCAAAATGAAAAAGGAGAGCAAGGGACAGCTGATTTTGGTAGATGTAGAGGTGTTCAGAAGTAGAGTAGGGGCCCTTATAGACTCAGGGGCTACTCGTAGTTATATCAGCCGTAGGGCACTGAAGAAGTTGAGGCTGGGACTAAAAGTCCAGAAGTTAGTAGACCCCATAGTTAGTGTCCTCGCAGACAACCGCACGATGCGAGTTGAGGACTACGTAGAGGGAGTCCAGGCGTACTTTTGCCTAGAGAAGGATGGGAAGGTGGAGAAAGTTCTCCATTCCCTGACTCTCCTCGTACAAGATGACCTTCCTTTTGATATAGTGTTGGGAATGGATTGGGGAGAGGCAGAAGGGGCCACACTTCATTTGAGAGAGCATGAGTGTAGGTTCCCTAGTCCGGCGGGCGAAGTTAAGACTGACCGCTTGTTCCACGTGTCGGGTGTAGACAACACCTTGCCACATTGCTGTCTCAGTGCTCCCGCGTTCGCGCGATTAGTAAAAAAGGAGCAGTTAGAAGACCAGGTCTTTGTAGTTTATGTTAGACCTGTCACTGAGGGCCAGGAAAAGGATAGTTCCACAGATCCAACAATTGCCAAGCTGCTGGAAGAGTTTCAGGATTTGACCGAGTCACCGACAGGAGTAGTGCCGCGACCCATCCAGCATAGGATAGAGATAGAGCCTGGCAGTAGAACTCCTAAGGGTGCAGTCTACAGGATGTCCCCTAGAGAGTTAGAGGAGCTTCGCAAGCAATTAGACAAACTCCTTGAGAAGGGTTGGATCACGCCCAGTTCGTCTCCTTTCGGAGCACCAGTTTTGTTTGTCCCCAAGAAGGAAGGAGAACTTCGTATGTGTATAGACTATAGGGGTTTGAACGCGATCACAGTAAAGAACGTTGAGCCACTGCCCTGGATAGACGATCTTTTAGATCGGGTGCAGGGTCGTAAGTATTTCTCTAAGATAGACTTAAAGTCCGGATACCATCAGATAAAGGTTATTCCTGATAATCAGTACAAGACTGCGTTCCGGACTAGATATGGGCATTATGAGTTTATAGTGATGCCCTTTGGACTAACCAACGCGCCAACTACTTTTCAGCGTTGTATGAATGGCCTGTTTAGACCATGGTTAGATAAATTCGTAGTAGTCCACTTACATGATATCCTAGTCTTTAGTAAGACCCTCCATTAGATGATATCCTAGTCCTTAGTAAGACCCTCCAGGAGCACCAGGGTCATCTGAGGCAGGTCTTGGAGAAGCTTAGAGAGGCCAACTTCAAGATCAACGCGAAGAAGTGCGAGTGGGCCAAGACGCAAGTCTTATACTTGGGCCACGTGTTGGACGAAGATGGCATTAAGCCAGAGGACAGCAAGATCGCGGCGATCAGAGATTGGCCGATGCCCCGCACATTGACAGAGTTGCGGTCGTTCCTAGGCCTAGCTACCTACTATAGGAAGTTCGTGAGGAACTTCTCCACTATCGCCGCTCCCTTGCGCCGATTGCTGAAAAAAGAGGCAATCTGGCAATGGGACAAAGACTGTACGTCTGCGCTCAAGAAGTTAAAGCGCGCGTTAATAGAATATCCTGTCCTCAAAGTAGCAGATTGGTCCTTGCCATTTGTCGTTACCACGGACGCAAGTCAGTATGGGATAGGCGCCGTGTTGCAGCCAGACGACGACAATGGCTATAGACCCGTAAAGTTCATATCAGTGAGGATGCCCTGTGAGAAGGTCGCTACCTCCACGTACGAGAGAGAACTCTACGCTCTCAGGCAGGCTTTAGATCATTGGAAGCACTACCTGCTCGAGAGGCACTTCAAAGTATATTCGGACCACGAAACGCTTAGATGGTTAAAGACTCAGGCCAAGATGACACCTAAGTTGACTAGGTGGGCCGCAAAGATAGACCAATTCGACTTTGAGCTCAAGCCAGTGAAGGGCAAGTACAACGTAGTTGCGGATGCTCTGAGTAGCAGATTAGACTACTTTGGAGCTGCAGTACACTATCTGGATATAGGGAGAGACCTGCAGGAGAAAGTGAGGCAAGCATATGCGCAGGACCCTATCTATAGCGACCTCCTAAAGAGAGTTAGAGAGGCCCCAAAGACTGAACCAGATTACCGCACTACAGACGGGTTGTTGTTTGAGAAGACTAGTGTGTTTGATCGCCTGTGCGTTCCCAACAACGAAGAGATCCGCAGTTTGATTTTAGGGGAATGCCACGATACTGAAGGGCATTTCGGTTGGCAAAAGACATTAGCCAACCTGATGCGTGCGTATACCTGGCCAGGGATGAAGAATGACTGCATAGAGTATGTCCGCAGTTGTAAAGTGTGCCAGAGGAATAAGTCTACTACACGCGCGCCCCTAGGTCTTCTCAGACCCTTGCCTATTCCGGATCAGCCGGGGGACTCAGTGTCCATAGACTTCATGGACACCCAAGTCAAGAGTAGACATGGTAAGAGCCAAGTCATGGTCATAGTTGACCGATTTAGTAAGTATGCAGTTTTTGTTCCTTTGCCTGCAGAGGCCCGTACGGACGTAGTGATACAGAAGTTCTTTGACTTTTGGGTTAGTGAGAATGGAATCCCATTGTCAATAGTTAGTGATAGAGATAGTCGTTTCACCAGCCAGAACTGGCAAGAACTCATGAGAGTCTACGGATCTAAGTTATTAATGTCGTCCGGCCGTCACCCAGAGACTAACGGTCAGACAGAACAGATGAACAAGATCCTACAACAAGTTCTGCGCATGTATATTAGACCAGATCAGATCAACTGGGATGAGATGTTGCCCAAGGTCACTAGTGTGTACAACAACAGCGTGCATCTATCCACTTGCCGCACTCCCAATGAGTTGCACAAGTCCTTTAGACCGCGCAGACCGTTCGAAGGACTGAACCGGGATCAGACTCACAGATTACCGCCCGGTACCAGGAAGTTTGCGATACAACACGAAAAGGAGTTAGCCACTGTTGTTGAGAACCTTCGGAAGGCCCAGCACAGAATGATAGAACAGGCTAACAAGCACCGACGCCCATCGCAGTTTCAAGAAGGCGACATAGTCTTGGTCAAAGCAAAAGAGTTTGCACCGGAAGAAAACATCTCGCAGAAGTTACTGCCTGCATAGAGAGGACCGTGGCCAGTTCTAGAAGTCAAGGGCGGAGAGGATGGACCATCCTACAACATTGAGATTCCAGCACACCTCCACACATACCCTATGTTCCATGCTCCAAAGCTGCCGCCGTGTGTCACTAGTCAACAATTCCCTTCCAAGAGATCCATGATCCCACCGGATATGGATGGGAGCTATGACATAGACGGCATTGTAGAAGAGGATGTGTTTAGGACAGGAGGTAGAGGTCCTCCCCAGAAACAGTATAAAGTTCGTGTTGCCTATCAGGAACCCGAAGACAACCGCTGGTTCACGAAAGCAGAACTTCTAGAGACTACTCCCGACATAGTCAGAGCCTATGAGCGTGACAAGAAAGGTAAAGGTCCCGCCTTGGACTGAAATTTTCTCGGAGGACCTCGAATTTAGGACAGCAGGAGTGAAACGGTTTTCACCTTTTAGCAGTAGCGGATGCAGTACCCAAGGTTCGATCTCTAGACCTCACCTTACCCATGTACAGTATCTGTGTAGATACCCGGGAATTGAACCTGTGACCTGTGTATTCGTAGGCAGTTGGTAGGCCTGTCGTAGGTCCATAGGCAGCAGGGGTTCGATCTGTAGGTCTATAGCGTAGGAGTCTTAGTGAGTTCAGGAAGCTTAGCTGTAGACCTTCTAGAAGGTAGGCAAGTGGGCAAGTGGTCAAGGGGTGAGGCAAGTGGTGGACTAAACCGCAGTGCAACCGCAATACAACGTCGGTAGGATAGCGCTGAGTCCACAGTCAGTCRGCGGAAGGTCCAGTCGGTCCCAGTCCGGTCCAGCAAGTACCACAGGGGGACTGTGAGCACCAAGGGCCGATGGCAAAGGGCAGACCAACGAGTTTCTGAAGTATAAATCAA